AGTAAAAATGTTTTCATCTCTAAACTGAATACTTTTTTTGCCATTTGCATCTGTTGAGCCTAATTTGGTTCAAGCGCATTGTCAGAAGTCTTGACATTGATCTGGGCGGTGTATTCCTTCCCCCTTGAGATAATTTGCTGTTTTCTAAGGGGACTATGTACGTGAACAGTTTTAATGGCATCTTGGTTCGAACAACGCGAGTGCAACCAGTTCTCTGTCATCAACTGTAGCCGTTTGAGAACAGCAATCAATAGTGCGGTAAAAAAAAAACATTTTCGAAATAATAAGTTTTTTGAAAAGTTCATAAATTTATGTACAGCGATCACCGCAGTACGATTTTCTTTAGCTCCCTACTCCATTATTAATCAGCGAAGGCAAACACTAAACTGATCATTGGATTTGAGTGGACACTCCATACGAATTATAATTTAAAAAAAAAATTACGGCAATATTTTGCTGCGACTTAGCCCTCGCTGCATATTTGTATATATGTACATTGTTAACTTTGTAACAGAAGTTATTTCAAGACTAAGTAGAATGCTTAGCTATTTTCGCCAACATGTCATTTTCGCGAGTTCTCAAAAAACAAAAACAAATAATTCACAAATTGATTTTGGGTGGCCATAAAGTAAAGTAGACAGTCGATTACTATCCAAGCGTTAAACCGATTTCAAAAGGTGGAAACCGCAATAGTCAGCGTGGATGTCTATATAATGTCTATGGTATATTTCAGTATGCGCATGGTATAATTTATATCAACTATCCTAAAAGGGGAAAAATTGTGTCCCGTGACTTATATGGTATACATATAGTGTTAGCGGCTCAATTGAAAGACGGAATAGTATTTATAGCCTGAACGAGTAATATTAAGTTTGCTATGAAGTTTGTAAAACCCAGAAGAAAGCGTCGGACACCCTATACAGTGTACTTATACATATATAGTATAACTGATCAGCGTCACGAGCTGAGACGGTTCAGCCATCTCCGTCTGTCTGTATATACGTGAACTCATCTCTGTTTTTAAGATATCAATCTGAAATTTTCCTACATATCCTTTTCACCCCAAAAGGCTGCTTATTTCTCGTAACCGCAGATATTGGACTACTATAGCGTATAGCAGCCATACGAAATGAACGTTCGGAATCAAGTACTGGCATGGAAAATTTTTTTATTTGCCAAGACATCTCTTTACAAAATTTGGCAGGAATTATTGCCTAAAACAACGGTACATTCTCCGAAGAAATTGTTCAGATCGGAACACTATAGCATATAGCTACCATACAAAAATCCCGAACAAAATCAAGTTCTTATATGGAATCTTTTGTATTTATGAAGTGTATGTAATATAATTTCGGTGCAATCGAAGTTAACATTTTTTCTTGTTTTTTTATCATTTTACTTAAAAAAATCATTTCGATAACTTGGAATCAACGGTTTGACAGTTAGCAATAGTATTCAGAATCACGCTAAAAGCAGAACTGGCCACTGTTAATCGTACACTGCATAAAGGCATAAATAAATTGTGGCTAAATAACGGTGAATTCTCGGTTGCAAACCATGCAAATAAGCATTTGCCATCATAAATCAGCCAATAATCCAGTTGAAATACACGTACACACACATATACACCGCCAACGATTTGCAGCACTGTCATTTAACGTTTTATACGTTGGCAACACCTTGCCTCGCCGCTGCTTACAGCCATTACCGGTGCGCGCATCTCCAGGTGTCAATTGTGCGGCACTCGTTGTTGGGTCGGTTTAGTGGTGCTTGGCTTTTTATTTAATTGACCAACGAGCTCATCTTTTTAAAACCACTTAAAACGTTAATAACGCGCCCATTTACCGCAGAAGCAAACAAGCGCACACACACATACAAACACACTAACGCCGTCACACGCAGTGTATGCAAATGGCCAACGGCATTTGTCGCTTAATCAGCGCGAATTTACAAACACCGCCAAACGAGGGATTTAACTAGATTCAACGGCGATTCGCTACGCGCGTGCGCACGCAATAAAACGAGGCAGCCAACCGACCGTCGAACAGACTAAGCCATAAATGAATTTACACATCACACACACACATAAATATGCACATATATATATATATATATACAGTGGCACTCACGCACGAAACGCAGCGCAGCGTGGCAGACGTTCGCCATTAGGTGGTACCCCGTTAACTGTCGCCACCACCCCCTTTGCTGTTGGTAGGCGTTGTGCGCGTAGAAAGCAGGTTTCCGTCGGGTCGCAATTGGCAGTTGTCGCTGTCGGCTATTGGCGGCGCGTAATTACAACGAGAATTAATGACACAGACAAAAACAAAAGCAAACAAGCAAATTGATATTCACGTGTATATGTGTGTCTGTGTATATATGCTATATATGGATGTAACTACACATGTATATAAGTGTGCTTGTTAGTGTATGCAACGCAGACATTCAAATATGTGTGACACCATTTGCACCAGTAATGGTGGAAATGCTTAAATGTGGAATTTTCCTCAGTCCAAATGTGACTTGTTTGGTTCAATTCAATAAATATAAATTTTGTTTTCAGTTTCAGCTTTATATTTCGAATTATTTCTTGTACAGTTTGTCTAAAAATTGCGACTAACTTATTCGACATAAACTTCTGAATATCATATACTCGTATGCGACACAGCACTTTTACCACGTTCAAATAGGTCAATTAGCTGAAACAATCAGGAAGTAAATTGAATAAACTTTACTTACAACAGTAAGAATTTGATAGCTGTCTAAATGGAGTTCTTTAAATTAGTTTGTGAAAATTTTCATCTAAAGAAGTTGGATAATAGCTTTTTCGGTGATTAAAGTAAATATATGATTACCATCAGGATTTATATAGAAACAGTTATAAAATACTAAACTCTCTACTCCCTTAAAACGGACTTATACAGACTAGTTGAAACCAAAATTTGCAGTATTATGGCAACTGTCTACTGGCTCTAGGTAGGCAGCCATTTTTGTTGTATTATTACCAGCGTTGTAAATAATGCTTATAAAAATAATTGCGTTAACATTTGAATGACTTTTTTTTCTAATCAAAAACAGGATCAAAAAAAAAAATGTAATCCCATTAAAAAAAATTTTGAATCAAATGTTAATTCAATTATTTTTTTTAATGCATTATTGTGTAAGCCGGTATAAAAAAAAAAATATTTATCCAAAAATCGGATTAAATATTTATTTTTAATTTTTTATTTCAAGTTTTTGAATCCTAAAGAATTGAATTCGCAACCCTAATTCCAATTATACCAATTCTAGTTTTAGGCTTGAATACATTGAATATTTTTACGGAAAATCTATGTTGGGACTTCATACATATATTCTGTGCAAATTTCATACTTAAATACCATAAGTTAAGTTAAAAATAGGGTTTATAACTATATTTTGCACGGTTTGCCCAAAAGATAAAATAACTGGATTAATATTCCTTTGTTCCAAAATCCGAGCATGCGTTGGTAAGCTACTGCCCTCGTGCGTCTTTTTCAGTATGCCTCATTTATTTGAAGCGTAAATAAAAATATAATATAATTTTTGCATCAAATTATGACTGGTGATGAAAATATACCTATTACGACAAGCTAAAGATTCATCAATAAGCTAAAAAATCATTTGTGAAGTCTGGCCAACCAACCAAATCAACGGCAAAGCCGCATATACAAGTACATGATGCCAAGGTAATGCTCTGTATTTGGTGGGATCAGAAAGGTGTGCTGTTTAATAAACTTTTAGAACCGGGTGAAACCATTAATATGGAACACTACCAACAACAACTTATCAAATGGAAGCGAGCAATTTCCGAAAAAGAACCGGCATTTGCGACTGAACACGAGACAAGAATTTTCAACCATGAGAACGCTCGACCTCATGTTGTAGTCATGGGTCAAACTATTTGGAAAGTAGCGGCTGGGAAGTATTGTCTCATCCGTATTATAGCCTAGACCTTGCCCTATTTTAACTACCATTTATATCGGTCGATGCAAAATGCCTTAATTGGGATACAGTTCACATCAGAACAAGCATCAAAAATTGTCCGGTGGAATCCATAAATTGCGAGAAATATGAGAAAATGTTATAGTTTCAGATAAGTGATACTTTAAAAAAAACTATTGTACATACATAATTTTTTTAAATAAACGTTAAAAATCAAAACAAAAAAACAACCGAATATAGTTGTATTGGGAAAAAAATTTTACGTCATAACTACCAACAGGAGAGTTTCAAACAAGTGCCTAATTTTTAAGTTCAAATATCAATCAACTTTAATGCACTTAGAACTTTCATTAAAAAATTCTCCAATTCTCTATTCCACACACGCTCTTCCCCTTGACTTCACAATTTACTAACCCAAAATCTACTGCTGCCACCACATCAACTATGCTATTCACCAATCCACACAATCGATAGTTGCAATTGTTTCGTTCAAAACTAATTAATTGGGCGTGTATTGAGGCACACAGACACCACGCCCACATGTTTGTTTAACTTGACTACCGCCTGGTTGCATTTCTTACACGCTGCCACTGTGCGCAAGCGCCACAACATTGTTCGCTCGCTCGCTTGCTTGCATGCTCAGCACAGGAGCGCTCTAATAATAAATGTTGGAAAAGATGTTGAATTAATTAAAATGATTCCGGGCAAATTGCAACACCAACGTACATACATACATATATGTAGAACCCCCCCTATCCCCTTTCGGACGATATCTCGTTACACAGCGTCGCCGCTGTCATACCTCAATGCCGCTGGCGCAACGCCCACTCTCGCAACTCACTGCCACTGATCGCGTGGCTACCGCATATAGCGTTGCAGGAAGTGGGCGTCTTATTTCCCTATTGCTCTTTAATTTTTTAAATCAACTTTAGATTTCATTAATTAAAAGTATGCATTTTTCATTTCGACTTTTTTCTCCCGCTTACACATCAGCTCCTTTTCAATTATGCCCATTTGTTAACGGCTTGTTGCCATTTCAGGTTTGGTTCCAGAATCGTCGCGCCAAGTGGCGCAAACAAGAGAAGGTGGGGCCGCAATCACATCCATACAACCCGTATTTGCCCAGTGGACCGGGCGCCATGCAAGCCGTTGTCGGCCCAACATTGCCGCCGAACCCGTTCACACATCTGGGCTTCAATTTGCGCAAACCATTTGATGCGCCGGCAAATTTGGCCGCCTTTCGTTATCCACACCTGTCGGCGGCACCAATGTTGCCATCTGGATTTTACAATCAATTTCAAAGGTAAGTTGAGAAATTAAAATAGTACTAGTAGAAATGTCTTGATCAATTCTTAAGATGTGAAAAAAAATGTTATATACCTGTATGTTGAGATATTCCTTAATATTGTAATTTTATGGTACCATGACGACCCGGTTTTTGGCTGAAATTAGGTATTTATATAAATTAAGATCTTACAGCCCTATTTTGTATAGCGACCAGCGTGAATATAGTAGCCATTAGACAAGCGTACATTATTTGCAACCAGCTACTGATCACAGGCAACTGAGTAGCCAGCCAGTTATACACGGAAATGTCAAACTCAAATAAACGCTCTGGTATAAATAGAGAGCCTCTGTTTTCAAGCAATGTGAGGTCAGTAGCCATAAGTAATATCACCTACCGACCATGACTAGAAGTATTTATCATTGGGAATCTTTCGAACAGCCAAACAATAATAGCGTAGCCTTTATTAAGGATACTCTGATGACTTAAAAAAATAATCAGCTGAAATAGCCCCTTATTAGCAGGACTTGTTCTATCAAGCGCACTACCTAAAAGAATAAGTTCATTACTGGGGTACGAAATCGCTCAAAAAAATTCGAATAATTCAGTTTCTGCGTTAAATCCTCTGGAGGATCAATTTTCGGTGGTCCATACAATATCCCAAATCCCAATGAGAAGTCTTATGAGATACGATTCGTTAGCTGGTTAAAAAGAAAGGTGCAGGAACGCCAGACCGCAGGTGGCCAGCATTAGGCCAATTGTGTTGACAAGTGGTTAAGCCGTATCCAACAACTCAGTGGATTAGGTAAAATACCAGACTTTTTTTCCAACCCAGCTACCTGCAATGTCTTCTAAATTGGAGCATTTGGAGCCGTGGAAGATATCCCGTCTCAACCGGCTGAAAGCTGGGCATACGCCAAGGTAATGTTCCAGCGTCTCATCATCCTTCGCACATAATCTGCATTCCGCCGAGCCCACTTTACCAATTCTCTGAAGGTGGAAACTTCAAGTTCCCTCTTGCCTAAAAGTAGAAGCTATTTGGTCTGTTCACCATCAACACTACCCCAGTATCTTTATGGTATGGAAACCTGAAGTTTTGTTCTAGGGTCCATTGCTTCAAGCAACCCTTAAAGGAGTGAGTGGTGTAAGGTAGCTTAAAGAAATTTCGAGTTTGCACTGAGAGTGTAGTTATTGCCTCCTTGCATAGGTTAACGCAGTGAGTTAGTATAGTCGCTACGAATGATCTTAATTGCCACTTGGCTGTAGATTTCGCTGTTGGGACTACCGATCACAGAACTATTGGTCCATTCTTCTCTACTGTGAAATGAAAACGTTGTGTTTAATTTCTCATGGATCTCCTTTTCTCGGTCGTGTTGCCAATTTAGCCCGAGTTCATTACAAGGTCGAGATATGCTTACAACTCCACAGAACCTGAATTCGGTTTCAGTTCTCAACCAACATTCTAACGATGCTTTGAATAACGATAAAACTTTCGATTTTTCTTTCGATTAAAACTTTCTTGCATGCAGTGAGGCTCTAGAATTACTTCTTAATTCTAAAAATTTGAAACAGAAAATCTAATTCTTACCTTCTCTTTACAGAGCGCCACCACATCTATTACCCAGCATGGCCAGCATGTACTCACCGACAACTTCCTTCCAAACGCTGTTGGCCAATATGACCGCTGTGCCGCGCCCACCACCAGCACCGGCACAACTCACCATCGCCTCTGTCAAGCCACCAATGCTTATTTCATCCCCCGAATTGCACTCACCCAATCAGCTCATTGCTTCACCGCCCATCTCCCCCACCTCCATGACAATGCAATCAATGGCACCACCACCCTCGGTGGCACACTCTCACGCCCAACAACAGCAAGGCCAATCATCGCCGGGGCTCAACATGTCAATGATGCATCAAGCGCCGCCGCCACAGCAAACGGCAACGCCAAGTCACACACAGTCGCCGCTGCAGTTGGCGCATTCACCATCACCACACCAGTCATCACCATCATCCTCGGCTGTGGCAGCCTCGCTGGTACAAGTGCCACGCACCGGCACGCCACCCGAAGATCGGCGCACCTCATCCATTGCGGCGCTGCGTCTAAAGGCGCGTGAACATGAGCTCAAGCTGGAGTTGTTGCGCCAAAATGGACACGGCGATGTGCTCAGCTAGTTGGCGCTGCAGTTGCGACCGTTGGTGAAGCGCTACCAGAGCGAGTTTGCAGCTGGGATGCAGTGCAGGAAGGGTATAGTGGAGAAATTCAGCTCAAATCAGTGGAAATTCGGAGTAAATGCCCACGAATTTTGTTGGAATTAAAATGTATTAAAATTATATTTTATTTTATATTTTATTTTTATTTGGATTGTGGTTAATCAGCCAACAACGTTTGTATGTAGGTGTTTTTAAATTATTATTTTTTCCATTATTTTAACTATATATTCATATTAATATAAAAATTAATACCAGTGCGCTCAATAAAGCAGTTTTGACATAGTCGCATATAGAAAATAGTATTTATATGCATCAATATATGCAACTTTAGTTAGTTACTTACGTATTCCATTAGAAATTTGTGAAATTTGTTTAGTATTTGAAAATTAAATTTTATTGAAAATATGTAAAAAGTTACATTAGCGTAATAAAAAGTTTTTGTGATATTCACAAACTGTATAAAAATGTGAATATTTAAATAAAAATTAATGTTTTATTTATTTTATATTTAATTTTGATGTGTGACCCTGTAAAAATCGTTTCACCACAAACACACAAAGCGATGTCGCTATGTTAGTTACGATCAAAAGTAACAAACTCACCGAAGTCTCAGGCGCTCATAAGCACTTTGAAAGCAAACAAACAACAACAAATACTGAAAATAAAAAAAAAATTGTTGCATTACCTTTCCTTGCGTATTATATTTGTTTTCTTCTCTGCACTCCTAACTACACTCTGAGTAAAATACGCCACACTGCGAAAGTAACTGCACTTGCATACTTGCTGAGGAACAAATGGAAATAGAAACACATGTGTTTGTCACCTTACTGGAAATCATATGAAAGTTAGTATTGTCTGCTGTTTTCATAGCTTCATTATACTTTCTGGCCGCCTGGTCGTTTGTCGATATTCGATTAGTGAAAAATCATGTTTAAATAATTTCGGCTGGTTGCTTAATCGATCGCTCGGAGGAAAACTTTACAAAACTGCTTGGCTAATCAGGCGATCAGAAATGCTCGTAGATAGCATTCAGCTTAGATAGCGGTGATTTCTAGAGAGGACTTCTACCAAGGAGCTCTATTTAAAGTACGACTTGCATACACTTTCTGATCGCCTGTTTACAAAGCCCAGAAACAGCAGTTTAGGGTGAGCATAGAAGGGATTTCTGCTGCAATGTGGAAAGGAATTTGGTTTAGAAAATAACATACATTTTCCAGGATGCTTTTTCTAATATGTGAGAAGCCTGGTAAAGTAATGATATCGTCAAACCAAACCAGTTAAGAAAATCAAACGAGGCGTTAAGAAATGAAAGAAGCGTTCAACCAAATATCCATTGTTATTGCTAAAAGTAAGCTGTTAGTACGTTTTGCACTACATCAAGGCTCTCCATAGTACTTGACAGGCTTTTTGTTTTTGTTATAAAAAATAAACAAAATGAACTGATCACGTTCGAGTTATATGTTATATATACTATGGTTTATATCGCCTGGTTGGTAGATAAAAAATAACCTAAAATCTAATTTTTAAATAATTTTTTAGTTCACTCTTATATCCTCCATCTCTTAAACCTCCTCTCCCCATACTTTTTCTACCCTCTGGCAGGCAAATAGGTACTCAGCATATTAAGTATGCATATTAAGTCTATGCACGCAGCAAATAAATAAATGATTATTGTTGCTGACATTTTTCTATTTTACTGCACGAATGCAAAAAAATACTCAATTAAGGAACAAAGAGAGACATTTGAAACTTGTTGTTATATTTATTGAATTATGCAAACATTACAAATTTAGTGAAGTGATCAAGGCTAGTCTTGGCTTGCTGCTTATTATGATCGCCTGGTGGAATGTAAATACAAGTATATTCGTGTTGGCAGGTTATTTATTTTTTCTTTCTCCATTTTCTTTCTTTCTTCACTTAAGTTATTTGTAAATTGCGACGAATAAGTGAAAAACAGTCAGGTAATCATAAGGCAAAACAAGTTGATATATTTATGTTTCTATACCCACATATGTGCAAATTCTTGGAGGACACGTTGAAAATCGAAACAAATATTTGTTGTTAGGATATTGAAAAGGTAAACGAGTGAAAATGTTTCGTGTAGGAGACAATAACTTACTTCATATGTATGTTCGCCTGGTTGATTGCATGCACTGGTATTTAAGGAAATTGCTTCTTCTTGCTTAAAGGAGGGTTCAACTTTCTGCTCCATATTTCATAACATCAATGTATACAATTCAAACAATCCAAGTCTTATAATGTTTTGGTTTCTAATTTTTTTTGTTTTTCTTTTAAATATATATTCTAAATATTTTAATAAAAATTTTGAATAGAAATAGAAAAAAATTACTTGTGCAAAACTTTATTATTATTATTATTATTATTATCTAACTAAATGGTATAATTTTATTTATTTAAATTTCAAAATCTTATTTCATTATGAAAGACGGATTTCTAAACGCAGTTGATAGGCCAAGGCAAATCTCCGAGCATATTTCCGTCACGCATCTTATCCATCTGAAAAAATCCTGCAGTCAAACGGAAGCTCTTGTAGGTCCATTAGTGCGTAAGGGGACGACGTAACCTAAAGATTCAAATATAAATAACATACCAAAATATATATATATTTCTCTTAATCAGCTTTTTTATATTATATTTATACCATATTTTTTCTCCTTTACTCTTCTTCTTTTTTCTAGATTATTTTTGGTTTTCTCTTATTTAATTTTTTTTCTTTAATTGCCTATCTTTTTATTTTTCTCTTTTTTCCATTTTGCTTTTCTTTTCTAAAGTTGTTTACATATTTTACATTTTATATGTTTTGTATTTAAAAATGGAAATAATTGTTACAAAAAAATTCTTAGCATTTTGTAGAAGGCTATTCGAGGTTATTAGGAGGAGGGGGTCCTCCTAATAACCTCGAATAGCCGATGCCTGGAACGAAACAAGCGTTGAAGATAATTTTAATTAATTTCTTCTTTCCAGACAGCTTCAATAATTTTTTCTATTTCTTTTAGACTTTTTGGACGCTTTTCTCTTATCTTTTTGCCCATATAATGCCAGCAGTTCTCAACTGGATTGAGATGTGGACTGTTTTCTGGCCCCGTGAGAAACTCAATTCCATAAAATTTTTTTCGGTTTGTAACCTGTAAGTATTTGTAATGAGTTATTGAAAAATCTATTTCAATATTTTTATGCTTTAGTTACCGTTTTGGCTCTATGGCAAGAGGGTAAACCATCCTGAAAATAAACACCAAACTTGTTTATAACTCCCATACCATTAAATAGGTCGAATGCTTTACGGTGGGTAAAACACAGCTTTCCTAAAAACGCTCACAACGTGTAGTTTTTCTATCCCAGTTGTTTCGTTAAATATTGAATTGGTTGTTCCAGCATGTTGAAGGCGGTCAGTAATGCACATCCGTTTAATTTGTCATTCATGACGAGATTTTACTTTTTTCGGACGCCCACTGCCCTTTTTTTATTTAGAAAATTAAAATTCGTATAATTATTAATAATATTGCGTTCACTCCAATCACTTATGGCTATTTCACGAGCTATATGCCGTTTGGATAATGTATTTTTAAATATAGCGATGATTTCTGCTTTATTTTCTATTGACAACATAATGTTCAACTTTACTTATTTTTTCAACTGACTCAAAGGAAATTACCGCAAGTACTAAAATAAACACGTGCAGAAACTAACGGTTTTAGAAATAACGGTAAACCAATGTAGTTACATAATAAAAAAGTCAAATCAGACAAAGCGCGTATTTTGAGCGAATAGTAACAGTTTAAAAATGGAATATTAGAAAATTTTTGACCGCGTGGGTTTTTTTTTTTTGCTGAGTGTATATAAATAATTAGGATGCCAGATGACGGTCGAAATCCAACCACAAGCCCTCTAGATACCAAATATTTCGCTCAATCATCTAGTAATCTCTTCGTGATAATTATATACCATTGTGTCAAAAATGGCTGAAGTCTGGTCAATAGTTCCCATAGTACACATACACCTAATATAAAAATTTCAGGACTTCTCGTTGTCTTTATATCGTATACATACATACATATATCGGTCAATATGTGAGCTATATTTCCCGGGCTTTGATCCTAGCAAATTTCGAGAGTATAAAATGTTCGACTACACTTGTACTTGGCCTTTTCTTACTACTTTCAAAGTATTCTTTTGTACTCATATTTTATTGCCATTTTATTTAAATATTGTGTGATTTAATTTTTAATAAATATTTTTTCTTGATTTATAACTGTTATCTTGTTTTTTTTTTTTATATATTTTGAATTAGTCAGAGCTTTTTAGCTCCTAGCACACAGCAACACCCTAACCTTCACATTTATGCCCTTTTACGCAGCTAATTTCAAGTAAAACGCTAAAAAGCCAAGAATTTTTCCCATTTACGAGCGATGGGCGTTTTTGTAATTAATACCAACTCAAGTCACATTTTAATTAACTGAATACAATCAATCTCTCGGGCATTTATGTACGTACCAGTCGACCGATGAATACCACCAACAGGCGGGCGCTTCACGGCAGCAAAGACACACAAGCGCATATGTAAATACAGATGGATTTATGTATGTGTGTATATGAGTATATGAATTTATGCGGAAGAATATAAATTCATAAATTCTGTTGCTTACTTTGTAGTTGTTGCGGTCATTGGCAACAATTTTATGCTTAGCTACTAATTAGTCAGCAACAAATCAACGCAACAACGAGCGAAAAGCAAATGGAAAAAACAAAATCGAGAGTTGTGTTTAACAAAAAAAAATTTAAAACAAGAAAAAACGTTAACTTCGGCTGCACTGAACATATAATACCCTTCACAGATGCATTTCTTATAGCAAAAAAGGGTTTAAAAGATCCCTATCAGAATTTTGATAGATAGTGGTGCGATTTAAACATTATGTTGGAAGATTGTAGCGCAGTTTTAGATAATAATATTTGCCAAATTTCGTGAAGATACACTTGTAATGTCAAATAAAAAAGTTGTCCATACAAGAAGTTAATTTTGATCGATCAGTTTGTATGGCAACTATATGCTATATCAGACCACTAGATATCGGCAATTCCGACAATGGAGCAACTTTTTGGCGAGAAAAGGACGTGTGCAAAATTTCAGAACGTGATCTCAAAAACTGAGGAACTTATTTTCGCATATACAAGTACAAACAGATGGACAGACGGACATGACTAAATTGACTCAGCTCGCCATGCTGATCACTTATGTATCTACTTTATAGGGTCTTCTACGTTTGCTTCTGGGTGTTACAAACTTCATGGCAAACTGAGTATCTCCGGTTCATGGTATAAAAAGGTGGAGTGAAATAACAACAAAAATTGCAACTACTTATAATAAAAATGTTGTTAATAATCATTATAAGCAAAACCATTGAGTTTCCACTTGAAGCGCTCACGGTGCATGCCTTACCTTGCCTCATACACCTTTTTTATGCGTGTTTGTGTGTGCCCACGATTATCACAGTCAAACTTGACTCATTCATCAAAAAACGGGCGGACTACTATGCCAACCGTTGCAGGAGTAAATAGCAACAAGTAAAAGCACGTTGATGAACTGCAGAACTGACAGCGCGCAGACTGACCAGTTCAACAGGCAAATGAAGAGTCAGTCACTCAACGAGCCAACTACTCACGGGCAGCAGGTTTCTCAGACAGACAAAGAGTCAGCCAGTCACACAGACAAAGTCAGTCAGTAGTAAGTGGGTTACTCATTGAGTATTCAAGTCGTGGTGGTAAGGGCGTATCTGGCGCAGATTTCTTCCTATAATTTTTAATGTTGTGGTTGTTGTTTTTGTTATTGTTTTTTTTCTTTGCTTTTCTCTTTTTTTAACGTGTGTGTTTATATGCATCTGTTTTGTTGTTTAGAACCTCGAAAAGCAATTAATAAAAATGTAAATTCAATTAAATTTATATGACAGCCAGCTGTCAGGAGGCTTCAAATTAAAAATTACTTATATTATGATAACCAAAAAATATGCAGAAAACAACAACAGCAAAGCAATGCAAGACATTGTAGCGTGCAGACAGTGAGGCATCGAGGAAGTCAGCTTGTTGGAGTGCATTAAATGGAATTAGTTGTTGTTGAGTTAATTTTTTTCCGCCTTCGATTGCACGTTTTGCGCTCGCGATTACTTGCTTGATAATCGCGATTTATTAAATATGCCAACAAGTGTTTGGTGTACATTGCAGCAACAAAAACAATGCAAAACTGATTAATGAGTAGGCGATGAGAAGATTTAAGACGCCCAATAGAAGTCAGGGCTCTATTGTTTCAAAGTTGTACGAGGGTTGCCTTTTATATTTTGGGATTAGAGAAGAACAATAAATATTGATTATCGAAAATAGCTTTATTGTGCCTTTTTTAAGCGATTGACAAATTGTGTGGGATCCAACGTGAACAAATTTTGTTTTAATGCCTATAGTTGTCTTAATATCGATCGCATGACGATCTTGAACTATCTGTTTGCGCACAGCACCATTTGCTACCGGAACTGGTCTTAGAGTGATTTACGACCTCGATTCACCATACCATCAATAAAAACTGATCCTTGACGAAGCTTCAAAGTCAAATATTGAATTAAGTTCATCGGTGCACTGTTGCTGAGTTAATCCACGTTGAAAGTTGTAAAAAATAATCGTGGGTAAATGTTCGCGATTTAATTCCATTTTTTAACCGAGATGAATATTTTAAGTTACTGTAAACACATATAGCGCTATGATGTCAAACTTTACGATAAAGTTGTGAGTTGTCAGATTGCAAGACTAGGGTTGCCAAATAGCAAAATATAAATGGCAACTTGCGTAAGAAGCTAAAAAAAGCGTATCGGATCTGTAATAAAAGTATATAAAGGAAAAAGTTAAATCTGTCGCAAACTCTAATGTCAATTTAAGAATGCTGAAGAAATAAATAAATACAACATTCGAAGAATTATGGCTGAAGAAGTTACGTTGTTGAAAGTGATTAGATAAGCATAACCAGAAGAACATTTCGATTTACTAAATATACATAATTTTCTCTTCTCTTGGCACTGATGTAAGTGCCCGTAAATAATAGATTACGACAATTTCGTACTAATAATTTTTTGTGAAGTGGGATTGACGGAAAATTCATTAATTCGACTACCATTCACGACTACCACAAAAGTAAACGCAATACTGACGGACACTCAAAGTGACAATAACAAGATTAAGTTGCCTGCATCTGTAAGAAAATATTTTATAATTTGTGCTTAGTCGGCCTTATAACTAACGAGTAACCGCAATTCTCTACAGAATACGTATTTCTCAGTTCTCTCACAGAACAATGCTAAAATGACGTCGCTAGAAAAGTACCGTCATTTCCGTCATTTATTTTATTTTTATATTTATATACTCTGCAGAAGATTTATTAAGATTTCCACAAAGTTTGTAACACTCAGAAGCAAACGTCGGAGACCCTATTAAGTATACTCGTATATATTATATAAATGATCAGCATGACGAGCTCAGTCCATTCAGCCAAGTCTCGCAGTCTGTATATGTGCGAACTCATATATCGATTAGAAATTTTGCCTTTTTTGTCCTTTTCTCCGCAAGAAGCTACTGATTTGCCGGAACCGCCGATATTGGAGCACAACAGCGTATAGCTGCCATACAAACTGACCGTTCAAAATCACGTTCTTGTATGGAAAACTTTTTCTGTTTGACAAGATATCTTCACGAAATTTGCCATAGCTTATTGTCCAAGGCAGGGGTCGAACTACTATAACATATAGGCACTATATAAACTGAACCATCAAAATCAGGATTAAGATCTTTTTATACTCTTTCATGCTATAAAAAATGCACCTGTGGAGAGTATTATTCGGTGCAGTCGAAATTACTATTATTTCTTATTCTTTACTATGGCTATAAAAATAGTTAAAAAAATTTAATAACCACATTCTGTGTAATAAGATATTATTTTTCAACAAATGAATTACTTTTTCCTAACTTTTTGTATTATTACGCGAATACGGTGTTAACAATATATACTTTTGATATACAAAGTATTTAAATTGTTGCGAAAAGCAGTTAATAAATTCATGTTAACGACTGCCGACTAACTGCTTACTTTAATTTCGGGACCACAAACTGTGAAATTTAATTTGCCAAACAGCAACTGTAAATACTGTAGCATACACACATATGTACATATATATGGTATGGTTTGGTATAGTATATGTTTATATTGGAAAAAAATATTGTATTTAAAAAATTGTATGTGTAGGCCACATAAGGAAAACGTGCATATGCAATTTTTGCCGATTGATTGCCGCATTCCTGAATTTATGACGCAAACACACACACATCAAAATAAGGAAAGATGAATACTCATAAGTGAAAAATATTTCAACGATTGTTTTTACGAATTTTTAATGAAAAATTACATGCCGGCGAGGCATTAAAAATCTGTGAGTTTTCAAGAGACGGTTTAAGGCTCAAAGGACTCTTAATATAGTTTAGGTAGGAAAAGAAAAGAAAGTTTTTGTACTTTACTTTATATAAGGATTTTGTTAAAACACTTAGGTCCATGAAACACCACCAATATCTGAAGTAGTAAAGCAAAAAATAATTTTTGGTTATTGCGAATTGTAAGAAGGTCAAATCGCTTATACTTTTGGGAAGAAAAAAGCATGATACCACTTACCGTTGTTTATTTGGGATTTACGGGGAGTATAATGAGCATAATAAAGGTTTAGCAGTAAGGCGAGTCTAAGATTTTAAAAAAATTAAGTTTTTTTTAGCTTGACCCTAGAGTATAAGGGTCCTAAAACATGCTTCAATTGGATAAATAACGTAAAAGAAATGAAATGCTTCCATGTTCATATATGATATATATGCATATACACATATAGTGTAGAAGAGTGTGGGTCAGAGCATGTGCTGAAATGCTCTTCGAAACTTTTATTTGGTCAAATATTGAACCTTTCTTTACAAGTTCTCCAATTTGCGAAGCATTGATGTGAAGCTAAAAATAAAGCTGCTTTACTTAGTCCTATGCAAATTCAGATCTTTCAATAGCATAAGGTTCTAGTATCACAGTTGGCCATAGCGACCCTCTTGAAAAAGGTGATTGCGAAGGTAGCCAACATATATTATCAAAATATCAATAAACTTTTTATACACTAAAATTTATCGCTTTTTATATAATAATTTTATACACTTTTTATATAAAAAAAATTCGATTTATTTTTCCGTACTACTAGAATCAATTGTCAAAGTTAGGGCTTTTTCAAGGGCTCTGGACTTTTCTATATCCTTAAA